CACGGCCCTCTGTTAATAAATGTGAAGGATAAAAAACTCGCTCAAGACATTACACGAGGCAGTTTAATAATCGATGGCACTCTACTTACGGCTTCAAGATACACCCCCGGTCCACCTCAATGCTTTAACTGTTTAGAGATGGGACACCCCGCTTTCTATTGTAAGACACCTCCACTCTGTGCTAGATGCGGAGGTAAACATAATTCAAAAGATTGTCAGATTGAAAATCCAAGTGGCGCCTGCTTCCGATGCGTTAAAAGAGACCAAAACGAGAACAAATTCACTAGTTTAACCGACATAAAATATACACATTCTCCATTTAGTATTCAATGCCCCTTAAAGAGCATTGAAGTTAATAAGAATCAATAAGATACAACCATCTCTTTACTTCTGGACTGGTGTTATGTCATCTTCTAAAAAGTTTTTTTATTGAATTGTTTCCCTTTTTTTTTCTTCTTTTTTTCCCCCTTTTCTTTCTCTCATTAAGAAATTTTCAGGTTCTTCCTTTTAACAGCTTTTAACAGTCATTAACTTTACACTTAGTTGGGTTCCTTTTGTGACACTTAAATTAGATAACCATTCTAGATGGTGATAGTATCCAAAGATCTGTAATTGGTGTATGACATTAGATTATAGTGTGACATGTGAAATCAATAACACTTAAAAAAAAAAAAAAAAAAAAAAAAAAAAAAAAAAAAAATACCATGATGAGTGGTGTCCTTTCCTGCCAACTGCTCCATTGAAAATCTTGAATTCAGCACTCACTGGCACATGTTTCTTTCGTCTAACCAGGGTTCCCTTTTTTTAATCTCACTCAGTTAAACCAGCATTTTCACCCTCGCGCCTCTGGGAACCGCTGCCTTCGAACTTGATTAACCAACATTCATTACCATGTAGCAACCTGTATCCGGCACTGAAAATTCATACATACATATACTTCTTGGACAAATCGACAATTCTGCGGGGAGCACCTTCAAACCAACAATCAAAATACTTGAAAGCCACCACTCCACACTCTCATCCCAAGCAAGATGCCATCGATCCAATTGATCTCACTCGCTGCACTATGTCTTCATTATTCATCACTTACCATTCTCATGCACCTCTCCCGGACCGGTCAACAAAATTCAAACTATCGGGCATCCTCTGCCGTGGTGATGACCGAATTATTCAAGTTGTTCATCTCCCTCATCTTCGCTTTCTATCATTCATTCTGCCAGTCAGAACCCCCTACCTCCAGACCATCGCCCCATTCCCGATTTGAGCCTCAGTTTGATAGTCTAGCCGAGGAACCAGAAGAAATGGATCAGGACGACCGTCGAGCTGGGAATGAGCACGAGAACGGGACTGAACTGGCAGAGAATGAGAACCAGAGTTGGAAAGCGGAGGATCCGAGATGGAATGAGGAATCCGACCAATTGATCTCGGATATGATCAGTCAGATCCAATCCAATTCGTCCAAAACACGTGAACGGACGATCTCCAGTGAAGTTTATCAGCCAAGCCAGACCGGCAAACGGCGCCGATTGATCAGCGGGAACGGCACGACAAGCCCGGATAAGCCAGTCTTCCAGTTCGTCAGCCACGTCCGTCCAGTCTCAGACCCTGACCATAGCCACCGGATGTCCGTCCAGGCCTCCCCTCAACTCACCCGTCTTACTCAGAACTACTCACCCTCTCATCCGCTCGTCCGTCTTTTTCATGCGCTCGAACATCTTCGGGCAAGTATCTTCAGTCCGGATTGGTTCTTGCTCGCCATCCCTGCAGTCATGTTCGTCATCCAAAACAACCTCCAATATCTCGCTGCTAGTAATCTGAGTGTACCCCTCTTCCAAATCACATATCAGCTCAAGGTGGGTAGAGATATCGATTTCACGTGCACTTCTCTCTCTCTCTCTCTCTCTGAACCTCCGATCATGTGCATAAATTGAAGTATGGATGCTAATACGAAGGTTTAAATTCTGTCTAGATACTTACGACAGCGCTGTGTTCAGTGATTCTTTTGAAACGCCGACTCAAGAAAACACAGTGGGTGTCCTTGGTTCTCCTGACGACGGGAGTGGCCATCGTCCAATTAAATTCCCAACAGACTAGTAACAAGGACCTGATCTCAGACTCAAAACAGGAGCCAGGATCTGAAATGAACCAGCTCTTGGGTTTGGTGGCGGTGGTCTCAGCGTGCTTATCTTCAGGTTTTGCGTCAGTCTATCTCGAACGGATGTTGAAGTCGACGGGGACCAAACCCAATCACAACAACAATTGCAACACAGAACTATCGAAGAAAAGAACTACCCTGCATTCATCTTCTAGTCCAGCTGGTCTTCATAAGCCTGTAAACCCACCATCCACCTCGATCTGGATCAGAAACATTCAGCTATCTAGTTTCGGTTTGGTAGTCTCGTTGTTGATAGTTTTCCTTGAAAATCAAATCAAAAATCCAATCCAAGCCTTATCAAGATTGATGAGAACATTAATCACTTTTGAAGGGAATCATCTACTCGATACCAAGAGAGAAATTTTCGGACGATTCACTAAACAGAAAGTACTCGAAAACATCTGGACCAGTAAAGCAGAGTTTTTCAATGGGTTTTCAAGCTTGACTTGGCTTGTAATCTTCTTCCAAGTTACTGGTGGGATCTTGAATTCAGCGGTCATGAAATATTCTAATAATATCAACAAAAACTTCTCGATTTGTTTATCAATAATCCTATCAATCCTCTTCAGTAACATTATTCTTTCTACTGATGATCAAGATAGTAATCACTTGAACATTCAATTCTTTATTGGTTCTTCTTTTGTAATCTTTTCTACTTGGCTATTCAACATTTAACTGTTCACAATTTTTTCTTTTCTTTCCACTTTGTTTTTCTCAAAAAAAATAGCATATTGTCCAAAGGTGTTCCTATCATTCTAGATTGATTCATCTTTCCCCAGTGGAAATGTTACTAACAATGAAGTATTTTGGATTGATTTGCCAATCAATTGATGTTGTTGTGGATTCATCATCATCAAGCTGTACTATTCAATGGAATTGGATTGAAACTCATTGTCACATTGTTACACTACAATGTCCTTCACTTGATTGTGCATGCCTACCCTAAAAGTGAAAAGCCTGACCCAAACAGTCACCAGCAGCTTCTGTTTGTTGTAAGATTAGCAAAGGATTCACAAAGAGCTGGGCAAATCTATTCATTCACTGTTTGGAAGAAAATGGAAATAGAGTTGCTACATCCAAGTAAACCAAACCTTCTCAATTGACACAACTTGATAGAAATTTCAGTGTTGTCACCATAGTTTTCATTCACTCCTACTAGTGTGAGAAACCAAACTGAAGTATCTAACCAGAAACTTCATATAGCTGACTAAATTATATGTATAAGAAAGAGAAGCCAGAAAACAGAATATGCTATGCTTCAAACTATGAGATGTGACACAAGTATGGATTACTTTTTTTGTGTTTTTGGTGTACAAGCCATCCTCCCCATTGGCTATATCCCACAACCCTCTAAGATTAGAATAAGTGCTTGGAATGAACTTTTTTTTTATCTCAAGTAGGATCTTTCAAATGCTAGTTTAACCTAGCATTTTGAGAAATCAAGTGTTCAAATGAGCCTCTAAGTGACACATGTGATGTGTCCCAGTACTTTGTTTGAAGGGAAAAGCATAATAATGTTGGTTTGAACTAGACTGAAGACATGTCTAACTTGTTATCTGAAAAATTGATTTGACGCACCCATTTTGCCAAAAAGATTTTTTTTTTTTTTTGAGAAACAGTATGTGGAGAGGATGAATTGATCACCCACTCTCAACAGGGAGGGCCTGTACCACAGCCCCAATTTTGAGGTTCATCCAAGTTAAAATTGGTTGAATCTCAACCAATTTAAACTTGGTTGAATCTCAACCAATCAAATATAAATCCAAGGAACCTAAATTTACATTTTATCAGTTGGAATACAACCAAGTTTAAATTGGTCCAGTGCATTCCAGTTAAATTGGGATAAACTCATCCCAGCCAATTATGTTGGCAGTGTAATTTGACCATGATTCAGATATGTCTGGTCAAGCTATGCAAATTCATCCCCCAACTACATATTCCTGCTATGAAATAATCACTACCTGTTGAAAGAATTGATCTATTCAATTTCAAAGATTATGCACTTGTGATTTGGATAAATTGGTTCCAAGGTTTCAAATTTCAGAATGCTGTATTTAAAGTGAAATGCAGAATTCTGTATTTCCAAAATTTGTTTTACATTTTTAAAAACACTGAGCCAATTGGTTCCCCCCTGTGGGCTTCTGTAAGAGGGGGTTAGTGTGGTGCTTTTTTGAGACAAGCAAATCAAGTAGACAGATTAATTTAACTGCAATGTCTTTCAACATTTTTGTAGTTTCATGATGATTACAATTTTGTTCAAATTGTACATATTCCCTGGTATTCAAATCAAACACAACTGCTTTATCTAATATAGGTCTGCCTGAAATTGGTTCAATGTTTATCCATCACTCCCTGACTCAAAGATGGGTACAAAAACTGTCACTCAAAAAGATGAAGCACTGCTGCAGAATCCAAACTCTAGCTCACTAGATTTGACAGCATTGAACAATATTGATTTCAAAACAAAAGAAACAAGTACTTGCAAATGACTATTCCTCCCATTGTTGGAGGTTACCTGTATTGGACTTGCATTATTACAGGATCTGGCAACCTGCCAGTCCATTCAAACCATATGGGCACAGCAACATGGCATGGTACCCGCTGTTGTTGACTGCTGTGCTTTGTTCCATGTGCACAGATGCCTAAAGTATCCATAAGTAGAAGGACTCTGAGGGGGAAGATCATAGATTAGGGTAGTCACTTTCCCCAACTTCTGCCATCAAGATTATTGCATCCAATTCCTCCATACTTTTACTTCAGCCATGCTAAATAGACTTCAAGCACTGATGTGCATTTCAATCCTTTTGAATAGAATTCATGGCACCCCCTGGTCTGTGGCTAGTGATATGAAATTGCCTACCTTACTTGAGAAAAGAGGTTTGGAGAAAGAATCCCTTCTTCATTGGGGAGACAAGGGCAAGGAAATCAGTACGTGTGATTTTCCAAGCCACAAAGAGAAGCTGGAGTCAAGTGATTCCAGCCAAATCCAAGATCAAGTTGAGAAGGTGAACAAAGAATTGAAGGCCATTAAAATATCTGCAGGGGGAGAAGAAGAAAAGCCTGGAAAAACAAATGCTATTAGAGACAAAGACACCAAGGATATTGCCTTGGGAGCTGCTAGCATAGAAGACAGAGCGGTGTCAGTGAAATTTGTTTTCTTATCATCACTTAATGGATTAGAGGCACTAAAAATGTTTTTTTTTCAGGTCAAATGAAGCTGGCAAAGACAAAAAATTAAGCCAAAATCTTGTGTACAAGTATGATAAGGAAACCCCAACCACAAACCTAGAGGAATTTGAGCAGGGTTTTTACAAATCAACTTGCTTCCTAGACCCTGATCCAAAGGGGGAACCAGAAGAATTTTGCATATTTATTAACCCCACTATAAACAATGGTCAAGGAATGGTGATAGTAGCTAAGGAAGAAGATTTGAAAGGTTTCATTGAGTCTGGCCTCAAAATCTCTCATGAGCCACCAAATCCTAACAATTTCAAGATTGTGGAGATTCCAGAAGAAGGTGTTGTGAGACCAGTTGCAACTCGCAAACTGGAGATGGGTGATTACGTCCAGATAATGTCTCCTGTTGCTCTCTTTTCCTGGTCTGAAGACATATGGCGAACTCCCTTTGGGGACAGTATTTGTCGGCAGCTATGACCATTTACCCTACCAAACACGAGCTGCCATAGCACACTTGCCTGGGAAAGGCAAAACGGAGGATGAGTTCATTTTAAATCTTAGTTCAACACACGCTCATACAAACAGTTTCAAGTTGGGAGATAAAGAGGTAGTATATGGTGGGATTATTTGAAAAAGTGTATGCTTTCAGCTCTGCCTTCTTTAAATGATATTATGTAGGAAACACAGAAGACTAATGTTTTGTCACACAAGTCATTCAATCATCTGCAGACGAAACAACATACTACATGATCCTGTGACTCAGCTCTGCACATGAGGGCCTATAACTCCATTGGAATTGGCGAGGAACTTACCACAAGTTGTGAGGAAAAGTTGATGTTTTTTAACTACTAGGCATTTCACTTACTCAACTTCCAAAATTATAGTCTGTTCTTTATTCTCAGATAGGGAAACCCGGAGAAAACAACTACAAGAGAGCTTTGGGATTGATTGCACTTGCTCACATTGTCTCATGAGCGCCGAACTTGGGGAATTGTCAGACAAAAATCTTCTACAAATCAGAAAGCTTAGATATCTGTTTGAAATTAATGACCCAGAGCTCTCTGTGAGTGAAGTTGAAGAGCTTGTCAATCTTAGTGAGAAGGTATGTGTAATTGTATGATCTGGTAATCAGTCATAAAAAACATGTGTCATTAAACTGACTTGTCTATATTTTATGATATAAAATCAGGAAAGAATCCCTGATGATATAGTGCAATCAAACTTGATTGCTGCCAAGTTTTACAATTCTAGACAGGAAATGCAGAAAGTTAAAGAACATGCAGAAAAATCAAAGTTTTATATGCAATTCCTTGAGCCTGGAACAAATGATCCTTGTCTTGCCGATTTAGATATGCTACTTAGCAAACCTGAACAACATAGCTCCCGTTTTTTATTCAATGGCATGAAAGGAAAAGATTCTGGGATCTTTTCCTCCTCCGAGAACTCTCGTTACAAGTACGATAAAGAAATACCAACCCCAAAACTTGAACTTTTTGATCATGGTTTTTACAAATCAACCTGCTTCCAAAACCCCAAGCCATCTGAGGAACCAAATGAATACTGCATACTCATCAACCCCACATTCAATAATAATCAAGGATGTGTGATAATTTCCCCCACAAATTACTTAAAGGGCTTCTTTCAAGAACACCTAAAGATGTTTGACAATCCACCTGAGCATGATGCCATACATATTGTTCCTGTGCCTGAAAAAGGTGGTATGGGAGCAGTGGCTGCCCAAAGATTTGAGACAGGTGATAGCATCCAACAGTTGAACCCTGTTGGACTCTTTCCATTTGAAGAACCAATATGGACAACTCCCTTTGGTCGTAGCATTCGTCGACAAGCTATTGACCACTTACCACTTCAAACCCGAGCTGCCATATCACAACTTGCTGGCAAGGGTCAAACTGATGATGAGTTCACCTCAAGTGTCATTGACATAAATGGCTTTCAAGCATATCACAATGTTGGAGATCAAAATCTTAGCTTTTCTGCAGTATATTTGAAAGCATCGTAAGTTTTACTTTGATTTGACT